TGTGGATACCTAATCACATTGGAATTAGCAAGATTGATTACATTTTCCTTTAGTTTTCCAACAAACTGGCAAAATGAATAGGAAAAAACACGGCTTCTGGCAAGGTGCTCCCCAAACAGCAAATCGGCGGTCAAATCTGCCTTGTGTAACTCTCAGGACTCTGCAGTTTCCCACCCCGAGAACCGCCAAGCAGCACTTCGGTCCAAAGAGCTTTCCGAGCAAAAACCATGTCTTACGACACCTGGTGTTACCTTCCGATTCCATGATCGTACTCCTAAGGAACTCGTCTTGCACGTGCTTGGTCATTGACCAAAAGGCACTCAAAAACTGCAATAGGGCCTGCTTTAGGCCCTTGAGTTGTTGAAAGCATGTTCGCCTGTGGCACCTGCACGAGTTCTGAAGCCTCAGGTGCTCCAGTCGTGAATCAACAGTGCCATGATGTCCAAACCTGGGCACAGGAACAATCAAATGGGCTTGGACATGGGAGACCACAGGAAGGGCTAAACATAAAAACTGACCCTTGTCCAAGCCTAGTTACGGAATTCGGTCCGTCATCTTTGCAAGGAGCCTTCTCTTGGAGCTGTTGTAGTTTGGACGCTTCCTCACTCTCTCTCTGACATCTTTTGCAGCCTTGCCAACCTCAATCGCCTGAGCTGTATCCTTGAAGGCAAGCAATCCTTCAAGTGTGAACTTCACTGCTGGAATCTCCCTTGAACTTGGTGGTTGAACCTGTTCAGGAGTCTGTTCAGGATCTGGCTTCTGCTTGGAAGACGTCTCTTCCTCTTCCTCTAACACCAGCGTTGAGAAAAACTTCTTCCTTGAGGAAGATGCTGCTGGAGTTGAACTTGATGACTGGCAAGGTGAAGGCATTCTTTCCACAATTGGCTGCGCTGCAGCTGGTGTAACCACTGACTTTCCAAGACCAGCTGACTGATCAGCTGGCTTGCTGGACTCTGGAACAGCTGCCGCTCCAGAACTTGAGCTGGCCAGGCATTTGATGAAATTCCGTCGCTTTTCCATCATGGCATGTTTGCTACAACCAAAGACGCGTTGAGTCTTGTGTACCAATGTACATGGGTGTTGCTTTAACATTCAGGCTCAGGCTAAACTCCAAAATGTAAAGAACAGTATTTGACAATATAGTAGTATATTTGGTAGCTTCCCTGACCAAAAGGACATATTGGGGCTCTCTACCAGTAGCAATAACATTGCTTTGCCCTTCACCTGGAAAAGGGCCATAAGCGGCAGAATAGGTTGAGTGAGTACATGTGAGGACATAATCTTTGAAAACAGCTGCCGGAAACTAGGCATCAGACCCTTGGAGATGCTGGGGGCCCTTTGAGATCACCCTCCATAGCCTGCAGAACTTTCATTTTTCAACGACCCCAACCACAAGGTCCAGTCACTTGCTCGGGCCGCCTGCCTGCATCATCACGCTGGCTGCAGCAGCGAGATCCGACGTCAGATCAAAAAGAAAAGGCGGCCGGCCGTGCAATCTTACCGTCTTGTTAATTTTTTCATGAAGCCATGAGACCCAAATGCAAAAACATGAGACCTAGTTGTAACGAAATTGACTTTATTCTAATGAAGGTTTTTGTAGGGGAAAAGGAAGAGACCCTTCGATCTGGAGCTTTTTTGCATTTTTGATACGAGTTTAATAAAGGACTTTATATAAAATTTTACTGATTTACTTTTTGGTTTTGAAGCTCTTCCCAGGTGACCTATTTTGGACCCCCCGATTTCAGGGACCCCCTATTTAAAAAAATGCGACCGAGGTTTCCTTATTATCCTTATTAGGGGGGGGGCCTCGTGTCTTTTTATTAGGTGGACCGGATTAATACGTACACAGCTGTATATAGCTAGCATCAAAGTTCCAAATTCAGCGGAGCGTGATGATCGCCGACATGGTAAACCTTAATTACCTTCAATGTTCTCCCCAAAACGGGGCCCAAAAACCCAGCATCCTCTCAGCACTGCATCTTCACGACCCATATGCCACGACCCGTCTGCCACGCGTCCGTTCGCGCCCGCAAACGCGTCCGCGCCACGCGAACCCGTTCGCGTCCGTTCGTGTCCGTTCGCAATCCCGTTGAGGGGTGGGGCACGGCCGGGCACGGCTGGCGAAAGCTCCGGATCGGCCCAAGGAGAGCGCGTGGAGAGCCGCGGGTGGCGTGGACTCATTGTGGCAGTGAAGCCACTTCCGGTTGGACTCTTTGGATGCCACCTGCTGGTAGACATGATCCTCCACTTTGTAAGGGGAAATGAACCATGACTTGACCCTGGACCAAGGGCCCCTACACCACAGATCGCACCCCTTCAGGAACTGCTTCCATTTAAGACTCTCTTTTTCCACTTCCATGTTTTCTGAGTTGGAGTGTAAGGCACCGAGGTTTTGGACTCCACTGTATCTCCTTGAGGCATGCACGACTGATTCATCATCATCACGCATCTTCTCTCCATCACGACCTGTCAAACCACTCTGAATCCATCACGCACTAGCAGCTAGCAGCTCGAAGGAATCTGCTTCGATGGGCGTGCTCAAAGCCTTTCTGGAATATCCGCAGGTTCGGGTCTTTTGGCCCAACAGATTTGCAATTACTCCATCCAAACGAGCTGCCATGCTCGTAGCTATAGCGTTCATGTTCGTCTTGCCAAAACTCGGTTTCGGGGCAATTGTCCACCAACTAAGGGAAGCAGGACCTTTAAAAAAAGAGGCCTGCAAAATTGAAACAACAACGCACCAAACCACATACATTAGGACATATTAGGACATATTAGGACATTAGGATCTGGTCTAGCAAGACATGGAACCAACATGACACAACATGCCCCACCCAACAACTACAGCTTTTTGTCTTCGGAATTCTGTCCCATCTATTTGGGAAAGCGATCCAAGCGGCCTTGCCTGCCAACCACCTCTAGGCCGAATGAAATCCCATCGGTGGTTTAGTCGCGTCTGCGTGGTTGAGTCGCATTCCGAAATGGATTCCCGTCCAAACCCAGAGCCAAATCCTCAACCACCCTTAGGTGTGAGTAACAAAACCATCATGACGAAACGACCACACCACGTCGATGCCTACAGAATCCTTCCAGGCCTGGCAAGGCATCTGCAAAGGCCTCGGCCGAGATCAGCAGGTCTTCCTGCTGATGTTCCCCTTCCATTTGATAGCATCGCATCAGTCGGACTCCTAAAAAACCATTCCTGAACCTCAAGGTTTCATGTTGCAGCTTGATCATTACTTGAACCGTGTGTTCATGATATAATATATATATATGTATATATGTTATATTCCCAGCATCGGTTCTGAGAAGTGTTATGTCGATGCTTCGACGCCAGTGCTCGCCATGTTTCCAGCCATGGTCTTCTTCACCCGTCCACTACCCAAACCACAGAAGCAACCCCTTAGCATTCGGCTGGATCAACGACCGCCTCAGGCGGAGTCTCTTCCGATCGTGCGTTGGCGCGGAAGTTCTTTCCCCAACGGATCGGTCATGCGCGAGACGTTCGACATGAAGACTATAGCCTTAGAGCTCCGTTCCCATCTCCTTAGAAGGGTACAAGGTAGGAACAGCCCCCAGAATACCCCACCCCCTGACAATCGCCCGGCCCAAAAAGCTTCGAAACGGAGGTAGTTGGAGTTCAAGAATTCTACAGTGAGTTGATGGCACAATCCACACGGTCGGTGGTTTCTATGGACCTCAAATGATCCCAATATAAATATCACGTCTTGGGGTGCCAGTGCCATCTACTCTGAAACCAGGCTAGGTATAGAAGTCATGAGTAAATTGCATGCGCCACAAACGAGTTCACTTGATGTGAGTGACCTATATGTGTATATCTATATATGACTGCACACGACTACACTGAGGGACCTGCCTTCTCAGCTGCGCCCTTTACACCTTCCTCTGATTGAGAGGATGGTGACTGCGAGCCTGGTGAGGAACATTCAGCGTCTTTTCACAGAGCTTCCTAAGAATGTCACAAAAGCCTGGCGCCAGTCGAGACATGTGATTTCAGTCCAAACCTTGTGTGTATCAGCCGAGCAATCTGCCTTCCAAATCTGTGGATCATGGATTTCGAGGTGTTTGGAGGCTCTGCAGATCCTCCACCTGCCTGGTGTGTAAAATACATCCCGCTCTTTCCCCAGTGCATCTTTCTGATTTTGGAAGGTCCGATGCTGTTGAACAAATCAAGGAAGTCACCCCAATAGATATATTATAGTGAATGCCCTAGGACATGTCAATCGAATTGAAATTCGGGGAACACAAACTAAAATCCCGCTTGACTTGGTTGTCTATAGCTCATAAGATGCAATCAAAAACGAGGGCCAAACAAAGGACTTGCTTGCTTAGTCTGAAACAATTGCATAAAGTACGATACTTGTATACTCAAAGCAACGATTGCTGAAAGAAAAAACAGAAGGAACACACATCATTTTTTCACGACTTGTGAAACCAACTTGGAAGAAACAACATCCTGAAGATAAACCTGTCAACATCCTCATGTTTGATTGCGAAGATGGCCTGCTTCTGAGGGAGTGTCGGCACCTGGCAGCCTGCAGTGACTGACAACCAGCTCTTCAAACCGCACAGTCAGCTGCATAAAACCGGTGTATGTGATATGAAATCAAATTCCTTGTGCAGTATATATACATATATCATAGCTAATGCTTTTAAATTCATTTAAAATCCTTTCAGGATCTCAAACATTATGCCAAGCAACAAAAGGACTATTGAATTTCAATGTGTCTCAGTCAAGTGAGTGTAGGTCAGGTTGCTGTTCAACCCATATGGGCCCCCGTACCAACTATAGGGAGACCTCCCAAGCCGAACCCCCCGGAAGAAAATAGGTCGTTGTCTCCCTATTTAAAACTACGCACACATAGGTGTGCCAGCTACACTGTGGAAGTTGTTCAAGATGAATAGAACATGATCAGGCTTCTACATGTGTCCTCTATAAATATCACTTTTGGGCTGGACATATTCACCGGTCATGTGTCCTGTTTGACTCTTTGACTGCTTGTTTATATGCTTCTATGATATATGTTCATTCCCGACAGTGCGGACCATGCCGAGGAGTCAACTTTTCTGGTCATTGGACATGCGAACCGCGCCATCAGCTTTTCAATTCCAAAGGCTCTTGGCGAGGGGTTCGCCGGTCTACGGCTTGGTCGTCTGTGGAGCCACTGGGTGTATACATGCCATTGTGGCGCTTCCAAAGCATGTTCTGGCCACCCGCTACAACATGCCTTTGTTCCAGATGACTAGTGGCTTTTACGGTCTTCTACGCGTGGCCACTCAACAGTGCACAGGTCCGTCTCTTCTCTGTCATAGCCCAAAAAACTCACATGTAAAGAGACAAACATCTGTTTCAACTGCAAATACTCACGGGTACAATAGACTCATTCAGAAGCAGTCGTGCAACAAAAATCAAATCTCAGGCACGCAGTTGTTTCACCTTGGGGATGGAAGCTGCTTGTCCAAAGAAGGAAAGCTTCCTTGTTGAGCGTCGCGGACTGCAAGACTGAGGGCGATGCCCGCCCGTAGTGCCTTTGGTCCCACACGGTCATTGTGATAACCAAATCGACTCTGGCCCCGCGGGCAGCGGGGTTGGCAGGAAAGGACTGGTGGAACGCAGGAAGGGCTGGGAGATCGTGCTTCACGAACGCTGTAGATCATGATCTATGTAACGGCTCAACCAAGGGGCAAGGAGGCAGTACCCGGAATTCGGCTCAAATTGGGCCATGTGCGCCAGATCGGGTTCAGGGCTCAGGATCAAGTGTTGCGCCAGGTGCATGGCTCTGTTGCGCCTCGCTG